AGACAAGGATCCACCTCGCCATGGTCGAGGGAGGTCAACAGCAGCAGGCAGTAGTGCAGCTCTAAGGGAACTTGGTGACAGGAGGAGGTGCGAGCAATACATTGAAGATGAGGAGAGGCTAGAGATGATAGGTCATACCACTGATGCCATTCCTGACACCCCACAGCATCTCTCTGAGTTTGATGGCAGATACATAAGAGATTTTGAGGGTGAGATCATCATGAGACCTCCAGATGACTCCTGCCAGCATGCAGTTGTCAACTATTCCAAGAGTTGGAAGATGGTGGAAGTGGCAAGGGGGATCAATCCCTATGCAGTACGCAAGGATTTGGGCATTGATTATAGATTCTAGAATGAATTTCATTCCAACTTTTATGCCGCAACCATTCTTGCATCCAAGAAAATCAAGATCATCAAGATGCAGTACATTTATTGGGATAAGATGCAGGAGAAGGAGGAGCCTGAGTTTGACAAGGTAATCAAAATTTATGATAGGTTCTAGCTTTCAGACATCATGGGTTTCCAGTATAACTGGAATAAGGAGGTCCTTGCATAGTTTCATGCCACATACTTCTATGACCAGAGCTCTGATGAGATTCACTAGATGACTGATGGTTGGCACTATCGAGTCGACTTTGTCACTTTTAGTCGGATTCTTGGCTTTGGGGAGGAGCACAGAGGTTACACTTACATTCATGATGAGCCTCGAGCTGAGATCCGTGACATCAGTTACATGTGGAGAGATAGAAGGATTGCAGATAGCAAGAGGAGTGGTCTACATAGCTTCTATTACATCCTCAACAACCTCATCAGGAACACCATCAACCCAAAGGATAGAGCATCCTTAGATATTAATGGCTATGTGAGAAATATGTTGGCTAGATTTGCTCCAGGTGGAGACAGGTTCAATGTCCCTAGATTCATGTGGACTGAGTTGAGATTTGTAGTAGAGGATGGAGGAGGGGGCTGCCCTATGCCTCTTACCTCAAGTTCATGATTGAGAGGGTCACTGGATTTTATTTTCCAAAGGATGGGATGCACACCGTCTACAAAATTGAGAAGACCCAACCAGCTACAGCTACTCAGGGAGCAGGGAGCTCTCATGCTCATGTAGACATCCTTGAATCTTTCCGCTCTAGGTCTCGTCGAGAAGGCAAGATGAAGAAGTTTGGCAAGTGGTTGAAGGCAATCTTCGGCAAATACACCTATGCAGCTGACAGAGCGTATGAGACACAGCTTGAGCAGCGTCATCAGCGTGGACAGGACCTTCCACAACTTCCTCCTATTCCACCTCCTCCACAGTATGACCTTCCGAGTCTCTCCGACACAGATTCAGATGATAAGGAGGAGGAGCAGGGACGAGCAACAGATTGGGATGAGACCCTGGAGGGATACCGTCAAAGACAGGAGCCGAGGCGTTCCACTGGCTACACCACCACTACTCACCGTCAGGGCCGTGCATGTATTGACTCCGACGATGATGATGGTGATGGTGGTGCCGGGACTGCTGCAGGAGGTGCTAGGGCTACAGGAGGTGATGATATTGATTGGACAAACATCCAGGGAGATGATGAGTAGGTGTTGATCTTTCTTCTTTTCTTCTATTTTTGGTGCTTTATGCCAAAGGGGGGGGATTAGAGGGGTCAATAACTTTTTCGACGCCATAGAGGTTGCTGTGTTCGTATCTGTTTAGAATAGTCTTCGTTAGGTGAGAGTTTGAGAGTCTATTAGAAACTCTATTTATGTAATAATGCTACTTAAGTACTTTATATATGGTTGGGATATGGACAAATATTAATCTATGATGTCGCTTGTGATACATTTGTGCTAGAATGTATATCTTTATATGTATCACATGATGTGTGGTGTCTGTTCTGATCTGTGCTGTAACAGCAAGTGCGAAAGTGCCGCACCCAGCTACAACAGCAAACCATGTTGTGCATAAACTGTCATTTGCATCATGTTTTACATACTTGACACAGTATGCAGCACCCCACAGGAGCATGGATGTAGGGGAGCCCTATCACTTTCACTAAAATGTGAATCTTGGCTTTTTATACCAATTTGAGAATTCAATTCTCTATTCACATACTTAGAGGGAGGCTCTACACCCATGGCTCGAAAAGTCTCAGTATTTATTTCATATCTTTTGTAGGCTCTAATTGGGTTGTCATCAATCACCAAAAAGGGGAAGATTGAAAGTGCAATCAAGCCTTAATTGTGGGTTTTGGTGATAATGACCACGCAATTGGAGAACTAATGAAATTTATTGAGATGACAAGCAGGGAATTTTATATTCGAGGATGCTATACGAAACGGAGGAGCCCTCAATTGCAAATATAGATGGCTTCAAACTCAAAAGAGGTTTAAGATTCTTTTATATCTTGAATTTGAGTATAGGAAGAGCCGTATTATAAAGGGGGACACGATGCTTAAGCTAATATGTGCTACCAAGTGCTCAAACAACCACAAGCATCCTCAGATTCATAGCCAAGACAGTCTACACTTCACTATTACCCTTGCTGTCTTGCGTGGTGTGGCACTATCGCACTTAAAGAGAGGCACTGACGCACTTGAGTCGCGGCACAAGGAAGTTAGCGCTTCCCCAGATGGCTCGAGACGTGTTAAACGGTCTCGCCCAACCCCTTGGGTGCGGGATCCGCATCGACCGACCCTAAGGTCGCGGGATCCATCTCGCCCAACCCCTTGGTGCGGGCTATGTCTCGCTCGACCCCAAAGTCGCGGGCTCCATCTCGCCCGACCTCTAGGCCACGGGCTCCGTCTCGCCCGACCTCGAGGCCGCTGGCTTCGTCTCGTCCGACCCCTTGAGTGTGGTGACCGTTGAGGGCTAGGGGTATATATACCTTTCCCTTTTCTCCCCAACGGCAATCTACGATTTAAGTGGCCGTTGGGGGATGGTGGGTATATATATACCTTTCCCCTTCCTTCCCAATGGTCACCTGGCTCTTCTTCCTCACTTGAGCACGTTCAAAGCAGAGCAGGAGCTCTCTCTCTCTCTCCTTCCATTGTTGACCTCAAGCCCTCAAGCAAATCCATTGATTTCCCCATTAATCCTTGAGGAAAAGGGGTCCCAAACTCGATTAGAGAGCAGTTCCACTGATTTCACAACTCTAAAGAGCACTTGGTTCATGTTTTGGCCGACGGTTGTGTTTGTTACTCTTAGAGCTTGGCTCCTAGCCGGCTAGAGCGTCGCCCGTGGAGCTTACCAACTTGTGTGGTAGCCCCAGGAGGTTTGTAACCATCTCTTGATTCTTGAAGCTAGTAAACTCACCTCTCATCTCAAGAGTTAAGTCTCTTGACTTGAAAACGAGGAAGGGCTAGAAAGCTCTAAGCCTTAGTGGCTAACCTCAACAACGTGGAGGTAGGCAAGCATTGGTGGTGAACCAAACCACGGGATAAATCATTGTGTCACTTGTGCTTGATTTACATTACTGGCATGACATATTGTGGTTGAGGTGATTTCTAAGTTTTTTTAGTCGATCTACTCGTGTGTGATGTTTCTACCACTTCTAGCTCGTGATCTGTGATTGTCATACCTGCAGTAAGCCAGGAAATTTCTCCGATCTAAGTTTTCGTTCACGAATTTTGAACTGACTCAAAGTTGTCTGCAGAGCAGTGCCGCTGTTCTGGTCCGGCAGTGCCGCAGTTCGGCAATGTCGCCCTCTAGAGCGGCAGTGCCGAAGGGTGAATTTGATAAAAGTTTGAGTGTTTGTTTTGACAGGCCTATTCACCCCCCTCTAGGCCAACCAGAGATCCTACAGCGTCGCGTATCACTTGAAAAATAAATTCGTTGAATCTAAGAAAAAATCTAGAAAAATACATGTACCAACTTAAGAACTTAAACCCTGATTAAAAAATGTAAGCTGTATATAAAGGGTTCATTAGAGGCTAAGCTAACATAAGCGTCGTGCGATCACGGGTTTGTTAGACGAGTTTTTTAGAATTTGTTTGCCATAGCCGAGAGCATACTACAAATCAACAATTTTAAGAGAATAATGTTCATCTTACTTGTGTTTGCTGCGTTCCACACCACTTCCAAGTGCTACAATAAATGCATATAGTACTTCAAGCATTACTGTATTGCGAAACTTGAATAGGGAAAAAGGTCAGAAGTACTTGTTTGAAGGAGACTACAAATAATTATGAAATCCAGAGACCATTTACTCCACCCCCAGATTGCAAATAGGAGTGTAATACATACTCAAGGAATTAATCAATGTTGATTTCATGACACACATGTAATGCCTACAGGCGGATTAAAGGCCTGTTTAGATCCCTTCCAGTTTGGAAAATGGACACTGTAACACTTTCGTTTGTATTTGGCAAAAATTGTCCAATTATGGACTATTTAGGCTTAAAAGATTCGTCTCGCCAATTACGGGCAAACTGTGCAATTAGTTATTCTTTTTACCTACGTTTAATGCTCCATGCATGTGCCGCAAGATTCGATGTGACGGGGAATCTTGGAAAATTTTGGATTTTGGGTGGGATCTAAACAGGGCCTAAATCACACAAGAAAACGATATTTCAACATTTCAATACTTTATGAAGCACACAAAGTTTCTGTATATATATAAAATAAAGTCACACACTTGCATACATCGTATATAAGCAGTGATCTCTCTTGATACAAGGTAATTCAAAAACCCATCACCCAATCAAGAAAAGCAGTATATATAGAGGAGTACGGCGGTAGACACTACGTAAAACCCTAGATATCTACCACACGACGTCTCACACGAACTAACCTTAGCTGACATCGTCGTCTTCCTCTCGCTTTTGCACCGCCAGAGGTAGCATCCATCCAACGCCAACATCACAGTCACACTACGGACAACTCGACCGACCATGGCTCGAGCGTCACATCTTTTCTTCCATTATTTTTCTACCTTTAGCACGCATTTAATTTTCCCAACCAAAGAAATAATATTGGCGGGGAAATATTATGGAATACCAAACACGGCAGTCCTCCTGCTGTCCTACAGACGGAGGAGGCCGCGGATGCCGTCGGCGGTGGCGGCCTCCACGTTGCTGAACGGCGCGGCCGGCGCCACCAATCTGGTGTCCCTGGCAGGGGACGCTTTCACGACGAGGGAGAAGCTGGGCAGCGGCAGGCTGCTTGGCGGCGGCGCCAGCATGTGCAGCAGGTCCTGAACGAAGTTCCTGGCCACCTCCTGCTCGAGGTCGTCCAGTGCCTCCGTCACCACTGGCGCGGGCGGCAGAGGCGTCGCCCGCTCCAGCGGCTTCTTCTTCTGCTGTGCGGACCTCTCCATCGTCGGCGGCGGCGGCCTTGCCGGCCTCCTCCTCCTGTCCCTCTGGCGCGGCGGCGCAGGGGCTGCTGCTGAAACTGTGGTGGTTGCCGCCGCTGCCCTGCCGGCGGCGCGTGGCGCCGGCGGTGGTGGGGGTGGAGCTGCTGGTAGGCCGGGGAAAGTGGCGTACTTGGTGGCGATGGGTGGGAGCGGCAGGAGCGGCGGTTGGTTGGACGGCAAGAGAGGAAGAGATGGCGACGAGTATATCATCGGAGTCGGAGACCTCGCGTATGGAAGCGCGGGAGCGGAGGTCCAAGCGCCACCTTTCTGCAGGTGATTGTATGGCTGCCACGTCGGGAAGGAGCTGTAGGAGCCGCCGCCCGGCACCACCGGCCTCGCGCCAGCTGGCCCCCGCCGGCTGCGACCAAGGAACCTCTTCGGGAACTCAAGGCTTCTGCTAGATGATCGATCCAGGAGAACGTTTTCCATCTTGTTTTTGTTGATCTATAGGACAAAAGCTTGTTAGGTAGTCTTCGCGCTATTTTGCTCAAAAGACTGGTTTTCGATACTGATTGCGGAATGGAAAAGGAAGTATAAAAGGAGAATTCAGATGGTTAAGGTTGAGAGAACTTGTATTAGTTTGAGTGAAATAATTTGCAGGAGAAGAGAGCTAGCAAAATCCTTGGGGAAGAGAAAACAGCAAGGATGCTAGGATCGGTGGAAGGCGAGTTTAGATCGAAGAAGAAAGAAAAACAAAAAAAAGGAAGAACGAAGGAAAACCAAAGAGGAAGAACGAAGCTAGATGTTATCTTCCTCCTGCTATCTAGTGTAGAGAGCGAGGGGATGGCCTTATCTTCCACCTCCGGGCTACAGCTCGGTGGCATGCAATGCTCCTCTTTATAACAAGAGGAGAAGGTCGAGAGGTGGGTTAGGTGTCACACCGTCTAACGTTTGGGGGAAAATGTATGGGAGGGGATTTGACAATTGACCACAAACTACCGCGCCCTAGCTCGGTTCCTTCTCTACCACTAATGGCAGATTTGCACGTGTCGATTATCTCCTAGGGTAATTTAAACATAACTTTTGGTGTGATGCCCCTTGAGAGAATGGTATTTTGTTCTTTGCCAGTTGTGAGTATTGTTCTCAAGAATACTAGCTACCACAGCCTACCACTCAGGGGAAAAGATAACCAAGTATAATGCTTCTCTTTCCTTTTTGAGGAAGCAAGTATACTCTCAAATTACAAGCAATTAAGTAATGTTTCAAGTTGTCTTTAAGTCAACTATTCTAAATTTTGGTTACAATTTCATTTTATCTTAAGTTTGGAGTGTTTGAAAATGATTTGAGTATCTCAAAATGCATTTTCGTAGCAGTATAATTTTTGCCATATTTTCAAATATTGCAACAAAAATTACTAATCAAAATTGTATTTCAAATACTTCATGCATAACTTTTTTCACTTATCTATATTTCAGGTGTTTTATTTTTTGTTGTTGTCTAGACAATTTTGTCATTGTTTGACTGTAGAAAAAAATGTTAATTGTCTCTTCTAAGTTGTTTCAGATTATCACAAAAATTGAAGCACCTTAAATATAGCAACTCTCTAGCCTTTTTTTTAGAAAAATGCATTACTTATATGTAATTCATTTTAACTCTAGTAATTTAAACCTTTTGATTTGTAAGTAACCGTATATCTCAATGATTTGAGCTTCCTCATAACTTCTGATGATTGTAAAGCAAGTATGTTTTATAGGAAAGCATAAATGGCCACATGGTCAATGCTTATGGCCTAGACCTTATTTTCATCGATTACTTCATCCATAAAAGAATACGGTTCTAACATAATACCTAGTCAAAAAATATCTTCAGTTGGACCAAATTTATACAATAAGGTATTGATATTTATGATATCAAATACGTACCATTGGAATCATTATGGAATATCATATAACTAGCTCCAACCAAAGCACGTCAAGGCGATCCAGGAATTGTTCCGCGTTGAGCAAGAACATGCTGACTCTGGCAAACAGGCACATGGAGAGGTCGGTGTGTGATATACTGCACCCGTGCCGAGACACTGAGTTGTTTAGTTTTGCGAGTAATTCCGTTTTGTTCCAGCGCTAGGTAAGCGTGTGGTGTAGCCCAAGCTCCGTAACTTCAGCAATGAATTCTTTGGCTTGCATAGTGTAATTTCAAACTCTTTCTACCTAAATACAAAACGCGTAACTCTCTATATGTTTTCGAAAAAGATATTATTTTTCATATATAATGTACCTAAATATTGATATCTTTTTATAAATTTGGTTAAACTTCTAAAGTGTTTAACTAATGAGAGAACTAGAGTTACATCTTTCCCGGATGGAGGTAATACCTCAGGATGTGGGTTAACGTTGTAGCAGGTTAACAACTAACAATCGCCACCAGTATTCTTTGAGAAATGGGAGTATGGAATAAATTAATAATTCAAGTGGGGTGGTTCTGCAAAACAAAAATGCCGACAGGCACCGCACAGTTTAGAGGCCATGCCAGCCGCAGACTTGGAGAGGGAAAAAAACAGCATGGTGTAATAACATCGATGTTTCACAAAACCTGGAGTATTTCTATGACAGTGGGCCTCGACGAAGACGGCGGTCCCACAGGGCAGTGAGCACGGCACATGCAGCGCCACAAAGATCTCACGGCCCGATTAGGTTTCCACTGTAGTGCGAATCTGGAGGACAGGGACCGACTGCGCGTAGGCCGGCAACCGCCAAACCGACGCCAGCCGCCGGATGGGGATTCTGGCAGGTGCCGCTGGGCCGCATCGGGCCGTCCGTCGGTTTCGGCGCTTTGAACGCCGTGCGGGGACACGCGGAAAGCGACGCCGCCTTGCTTTCCTCCGGCCTTTTTGCCGGGTCCACCGGCCGGCGCCTGGCGCAACACGCGGGGTTTTTGCTCTGCTAGGCTTTTTCAAAGACTCGCGTCAAGGAAGTGCCTGGCCACTTCCTCTGAACGAAGGCTGTAGCACGTCACCGCCAAAACCAATGCAAAGCGCTGGATTTCGTGATGATCAGATGCACGAATGGTGAGCGAAGTTGAGCTGCTACGTGCTGTTTGACAGTTTGAGGTACACGCTGTGGATACAAGCTAAGGGCTCTTTGGGCCTGTTTGTTCCATGGGACTATAGTCTCCCCATCTTAGTCATATTTAGTTTCTAAATTGTTAAACAGGAACTAAAAGAGAGACAAAAGTGGGTTAGTCCTGTAGTCCCTTGAGAGATGGGTTTTTGGGATTACTGGCCCAACTAGACAGCCTATTCCTTTCAATTATTGCCGGTCCTCACCCTTCGTGCAGCATTAAGAAGGATATTTTGGTCATTGTCCAGCAGCTTTACGGTCTTTAGTCCCTTGAAACAAACAGGGTTGGGACTAAAGTTTAGTCCTTATTTTAGTCTTCAGCAACTGAACTAAAGAACCAAACAAACCCTTTGGATTGGAGGATTCTGGGAGGAAAAACATAGGATTCAGGTTCCTACGGTAGAAAGTATTGTTCATCCCTTGGAAAAGTGGAGAAAATTTTCCTACGGCGCTGATTTCACGAGAAACCTATGAGAAGAAAACATCTAGTCCGACATCTTTGTTTCTCTTCCTGTCGCATAGGATCGAGGCAAATTGAGCTCTAACATACTATGCAAAGGCATCATCGGAACCAGATCACGTGGAGCAGGTGCTTCAGGCGTTGTTCGTTGAAGTCGGCCACTCGTAGCCAAATCTCGGCGGCGCATCGCACGTCCGTCCTCCGGCGGCAGCGAAGGCGACGGCGAGGAGCTACGAGAGTGCTCGAGTCCGTCCTTGTTCACCCCACGTGACCCACAGCGCTCCAACTTCTCAACCGTGCATGCTAGCTCAAATATCAATCATCCACCATCCAATATAGAAGATACAAATCAAGGGCCAATTACAAGAAGCCGCACCAAGAAACTACGAGAGCATGTGAATTCATTCCTAACTGATTTTAATTTCAATATTTCTGAGAATGTTATACTACATAAATGTTCTATCTTGATGTTACTTAGGTGCACACATGAAGAGGTGGAGGATACATGGCCTAAGGATACCACTGTGACAGAGAAGGACGATCGGAACCAAGGTTTTCATTATCTGGTCCAGTCTGATAAAAACCGACCCGAGTGATAAACACATACCAAGATTTTCTCATCATCTGTTCCAGTCTGATAAAAACAGACCAATCCGATTAAAACAGACGAGTCTTTCCAGAACAGAATGATGGTATAACTTCCCGTGCAAAACTGTACCATTCTATAACATTTCGTGATGCATACTGTACATGGATGGAAAGCTTATTGAGTCTACTTTCACACCCAACAAACGGTTAATATTTTGGACTTTCCATTACAGAGTTACAACTCTATTAGTGGAGACTGCTCAGGAGACCAACAGCTGCGCGAAGACTCATGGAAAACTATTTCGTGGAAGCCTTTTCACATACTCTATCTTTTCTTTTTCATCTCATGTTCATACCTTCTAGGAGGGTTGTTTCTAGTATAAATATCCCTGTGCTTCTAAGCAAGCGGAGACTTTTGATAATCAGAATACAAACCCTTTGTTCAGTTGTGTGCTAACAAAACCAGAGAGAGATCTCTACCCCTTTGCTCTTGTGTTTTTCTTCACGGAGATTACAGAAGCGACCACGTCATCGGCACCCAATCGGTGCTCCTGGTCCATTGATTCTAGGTTGCGTAGGTTGGTTTCTTTGAGAGTGTGGTTGGACGAATCTTTGGTTCAGGCTGCCGTATAGAGACACTAGTTGGCTCTTTATGTGCGTGTCGTCAGGTTGCACTAGTTATCACTGCTTGCAACAAGTTATCGGTTGTTCATCGGCTAGTTATCAAGATCAAGATCCGACGTCGTGAAGATCGGGGCCTCCACCACGGGATGAGCGGCGTTCATCTGCGGGAGCAGGACTAGCGGCAAGCGAGGAGAGAGAGACGAGATATACATGCTGCTAGAAAGGAGACGGATAATATAACGGTTGGCTTAGAGCTTTTTTATATATAAATATAAATATAAATATTGTTCTCTATTTTCCCATGAAAAATAACGTTGTTCTTAGGAGATAATCGTGGTCATTTCTCTAATGAACTAAAGCACTGTTGTTTCCTATACTTTCTAATAGGGTTCATCCAAACACCCCATTACACAAGATTCCTATGTTTCTAAATCCTCCGTTTTCTTCTTGAGTATTCGTGTGTTTTTCTTATTCCTACGTTTCTCCATTCATGTGTTCCAAAGGGGGCCTAAGACGGCGAAGAATCTGATTGATGGTGCGGCTGAATCGAGCGAGTAATCTAGGGAGTTTAAACAGCAACATTTGCAGTGCTATATTGCTTGATCAATAATATATATGGATCATGAGGCAGATCGAATCGAAATACTTTGATTTATATCTGTATATCAGTATATGATTAAAGTTTCCGGTGTGAATATAAT